CCCCAGGCCGACCGGCCGCACCTCCCCCGCGCCCCACCCACCCATCCGCCAGCCCGCCGGCCAGCGCCGCCCGCCCGGAGCCCGCAGCCCGGAGCCCGGAGCCCGGAGCCCGGAGTCCGGAGTCCGGAGCCTGCAGCCCGCCCCCTACAGGCCGCGCGCGTATTCCGGGCCCCGGCCCAGCCCGCCGCGACCCCCGAGCGCCCTCCCTTTCGCAGCCGGCTAGAGCACATCGGGAACACGGGCTCCGCTCCCCGAGCGTTAACTCGTGCTCTGCCTCCCGCGGCCGCCGCCAGCCACGGGCAGGCGGCCGGACGCCAGGACTCGACACAATCCGCTGACCACCGGCAACACAACATCCCACCCCACGCCGCTCCCCAACTTCGCGATGACTGGGGCGGGGGTGGGGGTGGCTCTGGTCCAAGTTCTACCCCTTTTGCTTTGTGGCTGCACCCGGATCGGATGTGCCCCGGGAAGGCGTCCACGCTCGCAGACAAGGTTGTCTCCCTGCAGTTTCTACTGCCCGAGTTTAAACTAGTCCTTTGCATTCTCCCCAGCCCTCTGCAATGCGGATGTATTTTAATTCTTAAATTCTTTAGGGAACAGCTTTTTAAGTAAGGCTTAATTATTTAACCTTGCATTTCTTTCATAGTTGAAGTTTACGTGTCTAGATTAGGATCAGCCCTCAAGAAGAGATATTCAGCTTTTCCATTAAATCTATTTTTTACAAAACCAGTGCCCCGAAGGTCATCTCCCATTACACACATCACACTGCTCAAAAAGGGAAAATATTAAGACCAATTTGTCGACCCGAGTTAAATAAAACTTTCTTATAACATTGCATTATTCCTAATGTGTGTTCATTTGGCGTTTTTTTTTTTTAATGGGTTCTTTGATTTAAAGCATGCAGCTAATCACCGATCACTCGAGTGCATATTTGGTTAATCCTCGGACCCCTCTCCTCTCCCTCCCCCCAAACTTAAAAAAAAAAAAAAGCCACCACACACAAAACAAAAACACTCCCCATGCCAATCAAAACGTAGCTGTACTATGCACAAAACAAATTTAACTATTCCACACCAGTTAAATCTCTGAATAATCACCCAATTTCAGAAGGCCAGTTAACTGGGAGTAATTATTTGTAGTCACTTACATATGCATTCACATGCCTTCTTAAAAACATTAGCTATATTGTATGTCTTTTTCCCCCTAAAACTGGAAACCATGAATTTTTAAACAAAACCAGTCCCATTATTAAAGTCAATCCCAACAAATGCATTCGCTGTAACGCGATTCCCAATTGGTTTATGTTGCGAACCAAATAATCCAAAACGACCACATACATTAAATTTGATGTGCCAGTGCAAGGAACAAGATCGCCATAATCGGACCCTCGATTGCAACTTAAAGGGCTTCCAACACACATGCGTTACACGATTTCCCAAATAACATTAATAATAATAACACAGGCTCATTTGCATGCAAAGTGCAATAGGGGCCAAATCCGCCCGAGAATGCAGTTTAGTCACATTACCGCAGCCCCTACACCCCCACCCAGGCTCCACCAAAATCCCCTGCCTTTCATCTGAAACTAGATTATGGTTGTGTCATTCGAGGTCAATTTATTCACTGGAGGTATCGCTACACCAATCTGTTTTTTCGTCCAAACTAGGCAGACACGACTTTGCCTGAAAAAGCCTTCTTTCAGAAAAGAAAGAAACAGCCTTATCGGACGCTGTGTTTAAAACCCTTCAGCTGCAGAATTATCTATAAACTTGACATTCACAGCCATTGCTTAAAACTACAAGTCAAAGGATGTGTTGTTAGGAGCACTTACGTATTTCTTCTGAATGATATTCCTCTTGGGTCTTTCCTTGCTCATTCTGAGATCCAAATGCTGATTGCAAAAGGGGACAATTGCTTCATGAATTTAAAGCCGTCAGAAATTTGCAAAAAAATATCCTGGTGGTTTTTATTGTTGTTGGTGGTGGTGGTTGATCTTGGAATCCGACTTTTCTTCCTCTTCCCCCAAAGCCCGATTCGCCTTGAAATAAATCCGAAATTGGGAAGGAAAAAAAAAAAAGCCAAAGACGAAGCAAACAAAAAAAAAATTTCACTTTAGTAAAACACTCATAATGGAAAATTTCCCCCGAAACACACACACACACAAAAAAAAACCGACGCCCTTCACTCCCCCCCCTTTTTCCTCCAAAAACTACATCAGCGAAACGTGAAGGTCCTTAGTGTCTGATCCGTAGTTACATCTTGGAAAAGAAAAAGGAAAGATAAATAAAAAATGTTGGAAGTCACGTTTGTGCTGCAGCAGCAGTGCGAGCAGAAGAGTCAACTCCAGCGGCGGCGGCGGCGGCGGCGGCAGCACCACAGCGAGGGCTCGCCGAGTCTCTTTTTTCCAAGCCCCCTAACCAATGAGAGAGAGGCTATCCAGCCCAACTTTAAATGGACTCTGCTTTTATACAAGTTAGGGCTCCTCGGATAATTCCCCGCCGGACGCTAGCCGAAAACTCCCACAGCTGGGCCACCAAGCGCCCGCCTCCTCCGGTGCCGACCGCCCCTGGCCGAGCCCAGAGGACCCCCGCAGCCCCGTCGACGAGACACCCGAGAGGCCTCGACGAACCCTTCCCGGGCTACCCCTCAGACATCGCTCCCACGCCGAGCCTAAGAGTGGAATTGAGAGAGACTCCCTAGCTCAATGCATGGCACGCTCGGTCGCTCCACCTCACCCCCTTTCCCCAGCTTGCCGCTCACCCCACAACCGCCACACGCTAGCCCCCGCCACGCCTCATGTCTACCTGCAGCCGGGCTGCTGGGTGCCAGTGCCCCAGGACGGCCGGCCCCGGGGAGAGCCGCCTATTCCCGGGGCACCTTAGAATGGTCCCCTTGATCTTCTGGAAGTTGTAGTCCCCCGACTACAAAATGGCTATGGCCACGGGAGCTGGGAACTACAATTCCCAGCCTGCCCCGCAAGCCTGTCACTCAACTCCCCTCCCTCCTCCCCGCCCCCTCCCCCTCGCCGGCCCTGCCAACAAACGCCTGGACGTGTCCCGCGTGTGACACTGAGAGAGGCTGGCTCGGGATTGGCCCGCAGAGCGTGTGGTCCGCGAGCAAGGAACTCCCCACGCCGGCCCGCCCACTGGCCCCCGGCCGCGGCCCCCCTCCCCCCCCCCGCGGCGGCCGGCCCCCTCCCCGCGCGCCCCGCCCCCACCCGCGGCGCAAACCGCCTGTGGAATCGAGGAATCGCGCGCGCGCCGGCCCGCGCCGAGCGGCCGTGGGGGGGACGCCCGGCGTCCCAGGGGAAGGCCTCGGAGCGTGGCGGCGCGGGGGGCGGTGTCGGCGAGGGGTTGGAGCCAGTCCTAAGGAAAACTGGGCCACGCACCAAGAGGAATCCTCGGTGCGAACTAGTTGATCGGCGGCGCCTGCTGCTTCGGCGGCGCAGCCGGTGTCACCTCAGGACACCGCCTCGCGTCGCCGCACGAAGCGTGCCGCGGTCGGACTCGGGGGAGCCCGAGGTCACCTCTGCCCGCGGCCGCACGCGCCTCCCGCGCGGAAAGGCCACCTCCCGGCGCGGCACGCGGCCCGGCGAGCGAGGACGGCGTCCGGGGTAGGGGGACCCCAAAAGGGAAGCCCCGGCCGCCGCCTCCTACAAAAGATCACCGTCTTTAAGGAGATCACGCTCGATCTTGGCTGCTCCCGGCGTCTTTTGCGTCTGGGGCGCCTGTGAGCGAGACTAAAACGTTGAGGGGGAAACGAGTGGAATATGGAGCCCGAGCCACACAGACACGCACACCGTAAGGAAGCATCTGGAACGCCGAGTGCCAGGAATGTCAACGGCGGTAGCCACGCGAGAGCCTGCTTTCTACCTGCGTCTGCCCCCTGTTGTGCTTATTTAATCGTCAGTATAAATGAAGTAGGGAGGGCCTGGTGTATCTCCGGCCTTCGCGTTATTAACAACTTTGTCAAGTCTCTCGTAGCCTTTCTGCATTGTTAATTTCCTCGTTTTCACCGTGGTTTTACAGAAGTGATGTTCTAAAGCATCTCCTCTCGGGCAACCCTTTTAAGAAATGAAAAAGTGGAATAAATACCCCCTCGTACTCATTCCCATACCTTCAATTCTCCTTCCCGTTCCTCAGATTCTCCTTACCTCGAAAGTATCACAGTTGTTAGGTTTTACCTGCAGCAGTCTTTGAAGAGAGAACCTGGTGTCTAGAAAGGTCTCAGGCACGAGGTAAGAGACCTGGATTCAAACCACCCCTGGGCCCCTTCCTAAAAGGTACCCGACGGCCTCTCTGAGCTGGTCAACTTCCTCATCAGCAAATTAGTGACCATCAAACCTTGTGGGGTGGATTATATAATAATGTGAACCCAGCCGAGAACCAGGCACGTTATTAGAAGCTTTCGATAAATGAAATAAAGTGCTGCTTTAAAATGCTTTTTAAGTATTACTTTTCCTTTTTTAGAAAAAGAAAATCTGCCTTCTAAATTGAAATAACGCGTCCTATGTCCCTTTCACAATCAGAAAAATAAACGACCCGCTGAGCCTTCACGTGGCGCCTATGCTGAAGGACCCCATAGAACAGACTCCACGTTTCCATATTGGCCACCCACGTGACTTGATGGTTAGGTTACAACGAGGTGGTTTCAGAAGACTTTCTGATCATTATGACCTGTGTTCCGGTGGTCTCCAGGTCTCCACACTCTTAGGGTTTTCACCAGCTTTCAGGAAGTTGAATGTCAGATCTGCCCATCCCCAGGCGAAATACTAAAGAACAGAGCTGGGTTTCTTCTCGGTTCCCTCAGCTAGCCCCCGAGGCTGGGCGTCTCTGTCCCCAGGCCCAGAGAACTCCGCTGCGGGCTACCTGCTACCGTCTCCAGGTCACTACATTTGAAAAACTATTCTCATTTAGCTTGAGGGCTGTTTGCTCGTTTCCAAAAGATGTGTATAACATTAGCTGTCGCTTTCCCTGAAAAGGAAAATAGGTCAGCCTTTTTAGCCCTTGGAAGGCTTTCCTGTTGTGGAAGTCACTGTCTCCAGATGAGCTTCCTTTCGCTGCCATCTTGGCAAAGCCATAGATTACCTTTTCCTCCTCTTTTTCATTTTCTGTAAGTGAATTATCACTCTCCTGACGATTTTTACCTCTCACAGCAGGTCTCTTGACCTCTTCCAAGTCGTGAAGTAGGGGATGAGAGGGTGGGGGAAGACCTCACTAGGTACAGTGCTCCTACAGGACCTGTGTGCCAGCACTGGTCTCGTTCCTGAAGACACAGAGAGAGAGACCGTAAGTTCTTTGTCAAGAAACACACAGCTCAGTAGAAAAGGCAGACTCTACGACCAATTATGATACCTCTAAAAAGTACTGTATTTGCATTATAGAAAAGGTGCTAAAGGGAATGCTTAGCTGAGGTGACCAGGAATGAAGGAGTTTGGAAGGATGAGTAGGAGATCAGCAGTTTGAAGTCTGCTGAGCAACTTTCCCGCATTAAAAAACAAACAAACCATGAGACCTAAAAAAACAACCACACTTATGGATGGGACTCAGTTTTGTGTGGGAGCGACCAAAAATGAAACTGAGAGGTGAGCAGAGGCCAGGACCGGAAAGGTTCTGTGCGCCACTTTGGACTTTGCCTGTAAGCGAAACAAGAAGCTGAGAAGGATTTTCACTGGCCGTATAAGGCAGATTTGTGTTTCTGAAAAGTAATTCTGATTGTGAGAGATGAAATTGAGGACTGAAGAAAAGAGAGGCAGGGAGAGCTGGAAACCAGTTGCAATGTTATTGCATAAATGAGGTGAGAAATGGTTATGATCTGAATCCAGCAGCAGAGGAAATAGCAGAGCTAGCAGAGAACACGTTGAGAAATACTTAGAATGTCAAAAGTCAATAGGACTTGGGAACTGGTTAGCTGGAGGGAATGGTGACTAATAGGGCAGAGTCTAAAGATCATGCCTTAATCTTACATTTTATGCCCTTAATTAGATCAATTATCCACTGTAGGAAGCCTGGGAACATGATGGAAGTGAAAGAGGAAGAGGTAGCAAATCATCAGACACGAATAAGAGCAGGCACTTAGTATTCTGGGTCCAAATCTGCGTGGGCAATCGTATTTAACCAAGCATTCTAGTCCACCGTTTGAGTTCCTGTAAGAAATGACAAGGGGGCTTCCCTGGTGGCACAGTGGTGAAGAATCCGCCTGCTAATGCAGAGGACAAGGATTTGAGCCCTGGTCCCGGGAGATCCCACATGCCTCGGAGCAACTTAGCCCGTGCACTGCAACTACTGAGCCTGTGCTCTAGAGCCCACGAGCCATAAGTACTGAGCCTGAGCGCCTAGAGCCCATGCTCCGCAAGAAGAGAAGCCACTGCATTGAGAAGCCCTCGCACCACAACCAAGAGTAGTAGCCCCCACTCGCCGCAACTAGAGAAAGCCTGCGCGCAGCAACGAAGACCCAACGCAGCCAAAAATAAATAAATAAAATAAACTTATTTAAAAAAAGAAATGAGGGCTTCCCTGGGGGCGCAGTGGTTGAGAGTCTGCCTGCCAATGCCGGGGACACGGGTTCAAGCCTTGGTCTGGGAAGATCCCACATGCCGCGGAGCAGCTAGGCCCGTGGGCCACAACTACTGAGCCTGCGCGTCTGGAGCCTGTGCTCCGCAACAAGAAAGGCCGCGACACTGAGAGGCCCGTGCACCGCAATGAAGAGTGGCCCCCCCCTTGCCACAACTAGAGAAAGCCCTCGCACAGAAACAAAGACCCAACACAGCAAAATTAAATTAATTAATAAACTCCTACCCCCAACATAAAAAAAAAAAAAGAAATGACAAGGAAGGAATTAAAAAGTAAAGACTGGGCTTCCCTGGTGGCACAGTGGTTGAGAGTCCGCCTGCCGATGCAGGGAACACGGATTCGTGCCCCGGTCCAGGAAGATCCCACATGCCGCGGAGCGGCTGGGCCCGTGATCCATGGCCGCTGAGCCTGCGCGTCCAGAGCCTGTGCTCCGCAACGGGAGAGGCCACAACAGTGAGAGGCCCGCGTAACGCAAAAAAAAAGTAATAAATTAAAAAAAAAAAAAAAAGTAAAGACCAAGGACAGAAGAATAATCCTCAGTCCTATATTATATGCATATTGAAATTTCCCTCTTAATGCAGGGATGACACACGTTATCCCACGTGCTTCCACACATGAATCACAGCCGTGGTTCTCCTAAGAAGTAACTCAAGGTTCATCTTCTCCAGAAATCCTGCCTTAATAGCCCATCTTCCCTGCCCCACCGTATTATATCCGTATATGCTTACATTCTCCAATTTTGTCTTATGTTCCCATCTCCTCTCCAAATAAAAAATAAGCTTTCTAAAGTCAGAGACCATGTTGTCTACTTCTCATCCCCTCCCCAAAGCTCCAGAAACTTCTTAGAATTTGGCAGGGTCCAGTAAATGCTTACTGATGAATATTTCACCCAAACTATAATGCCTGACTATTTAGACTTTTGCCAGCCATTTAGTCTCTTGACTATCATCTCCAATTGCGTTTTGGAGCACTACTGTTTCTCCTCTTCCAGTATCCAAATCCACCATAGTGCTGTATACTCTTTAAGGGCCCAGCTCCAGTCTTATCTCCACTTCAGCCTGGCTGCTGGGCTTCCTCCTCTTGAATTCTCATTGCCCCTGTTCCTTCAGCCACATCTTTTAAGAATAAAAATCACACGTATTTAAGGTGTACAGCGTGATGTTTGGATATGCATATTCATT